ATTCGATTATTTTGAGCATTTTGAGCCTTTCTAGGAAACCACCTTAGAGTAAATGTATTAAAAATGTTTGAATGATGTGGTATATCGTATTTAATCACTTAAGAAATGATGTGGCATATCGTATTTATACAACACACACATATATATAGGCAAGATGGTGGGTGTTGAAATGTATCTAGAAAATTCTAACAAAAATATCAGCCTTTTAACTTCTCCAAATTATTCAACTATGGAGGTGGTCTACGAATTCTTCTAGGCTTGGCTGCAATTTAGTATTTATTTCATTTGGTGAACTTTATGACCAGCAACATTTGGCAATAGAATACTTAGATTAGAGCTCAAAGACTACACCAAATTGAGCTTGCAACTAGGTGTTAGGCTGGCATAACCCTTCACCAAAGCATACATGCGGTCAAAAATTTCTTGCTCTTCGATAATAAGTCTTTATCCGACAAGTTGAAGGAAACCTCTAATTTTCAAAAGTCCTAAAAAGCAAGAAAAGATTTATCTCTAGCAAATTAGCAATCATATTGAGTGTTTGCTCCTCTGAGACTCCCAATTTACCGGGTTAAAACCCCAAATGGTCACTGAACTTTGCCCGAAATCCCCTAGGAGGTCACCGAACTTCAAATTGTCCCTAAGTAGTCACTAAACTTAGCTCGAAGTCCCTCAAGAGGTCACCAAACTTCAAAACGTCCCTAAATGGTCATTGAACTTTGCAAAAAGTTCCTAGAAGGTCACTGAAGTTTGCAAATTGGGACCCCATTCATCTTTGCAAAGCTCAATAATCTGCAAATATTTCATTCATCATTTTATTACTTGTTTACCATACCACACACTTGCGAAATTTCGCACCTTCACTATGCATAACTTTTTTGACTTCGTGTCCATAAATAAACATTTATTCCAAACAGAGAATGTAAAATCATTGTATAAAACATCGATCATTGTCACAGTCTCCAATCCAATTTGATGAACTGTGTCAGGCAGAGTTTGGGACCGTGAGTGAAAGATAATTTAAATTTTCAATTTAGTATGATCAAGGTTCTATCATAAATATTAGGCGAAGGAATTGAAAAATTTATCTCAAATAATTTGCTTTATTAACATGTGCTCTATCCATGAATAACTATTAAATGATGGTTTTATTTTTCTTAAGCATATTCTTGTAGTATATGAAGTTATCGTATTAAACTTTGTCAGACAAAGTAGTTTTTGTCATATTTCACTATATATGATCTAGAATTTCTAGACTTTGGGCTACATATTGATTGGTAGTCATCAAAATAACTTGAGGTTAATTTGGTTAGTGGTAAAAATGTTAAAAAATTATTATGCAAAGATGAATGGGGTCCCAATTTGCAAACTTCAGTGACCTCTTAGGAACTTTTTGCAAAGTTCAATGACCATTTAGGGACGTTTTGAAGTTCGGTGACCTCTTGGGGGACTTCGAGCTAAGTTCAGTGACTACTTAGGGACGATTTGAAGTTCGGTGACCTCCTAAGAGACTTCGGGCAAAGTTCAATGACCATTTGGGGTTTTAACCCCCAATTTACCATATTTTTCTTCCGACTACTAGTTGGAGCCAATATTTAGTCACTTGAATCTTCATTTATAAAAACTTTCATGTAAGTTGTCAACCTACTTTACTAAATTCTGACATAAGAAATTAGTTGACAAAGATTTCAAAATATATCGTTAATAAGAAGATATAGTAATTAACTCAACGTAATCAGGTTCATGAAAATGATAATATAAGATAATTCAAAGTCCAAAATGATTAAAAAGAATAAAAAAGTGTGTAAATGTAGTGGAAAACTTTAAAATAGCAAGCCAACATATCAATTGATGGTAACTTTACTCAGAAATTCTCTCTCTCTCTCTCTCTCTCTCTCTCCCCGAAATGTCACTCCTGCCCTGTGACATCAACACACCCCCTAAACCACCTGATCCAACCTCCGCCAGCACTGCCTATAACTGGAGACTGGTTAGATACCTCCCAACCTCAATCTATAGCAGTACATAATTATATTAACTCAATTCGATCCCTTCTCCAGCAGAAGCTAACCGGTGAATCCAAAATTAAAACTTGCAGCCAAAAAAAAAAAAAAAGTACAAAGTGTTGAAATTAAGAGATGACTTACTGACGACCCTTGACTGGGGAAAATCAACGAGCGGCATCGACGATGTTAGCAATTTGGTGAGAAAATGAGAGCGGCGGCACCATGGAGAGTAGAGTGCCGGGGCTGTGAGTCTTAGAGGGATATGGAAAATAGGTTACGGATGTTGGCTTTTTGATTGAAAATGAGTTTTTTTTGGGTTTAAACTACGCAGGTCGGGTCGAGCGATTTGGAATGTTTTAGCAACGTTTGGTAAACGTTGCACTAAACATTGCAAAAAGTTCAAAAGATTTTACTTTTTACAACGTTCATTAAATGTTGCGAAATATGTCCTTTTGCAACGTTTATGAAGTGTTGTGTGAATTTTACTTTTTGCAACATTGCAAAATGGTAACTTTCTGCAATGGCATTTTCGCATTGCAAAAGGCAGGTTTCAGCAATGTTTAATAAACATTGTAATAAAATTAAGTTTTAGCAATGTTTAATAAACGTTGCAAAAAATAAAATATCTCACAATATTAATCAAACGTTGCAGAAGATGACATTAGCAACATCCATTTACAAAATATTGCCAAAGCTAAATTATGTTAACTAATGGCGACATTCACTTATTAAAATGTTGTGGTAGACCCCTTTATAAAGTTTTCACTTAAAATTTTTTATAGATATTCAATGTAAATATTTATCTAATTTGTCTAAATTAAGAACATATATGTCATAATAAGATTTAACAATTAAAAATGTATACTAATTTAACGAAAATAAAATTAAATATACGTAAATATATACTTACCGAGGTTTTTAACAATTAAAAAAGTATAAATGAGATTTTTTTTATTGAGCGTTTGATAGATTTTTGAGGTATTAAAGTTGAAGAAGATGAAAAATGAAATAGTCATTATCTGTATTAGAGGAAATAGATAAAAAAAAAAAGTGACTTTATTTAAAAAAATTAATTGGAAAATGTTTATTTTTTTATAGTTGAATATATAATTAAAAGGATTATACTCTTTTTAACATATTCATAGTTTTGTAATTTAATAACCTTTTTAGGGTGTCTTGGTCTTTTGTATGTTAAAAAAATCATTGTGGTGAATAACGAATAGGGATGATTGCAACAAAAGCTCTAAACCATTGAAACACTAGCAAACTTTTTCCAAACATTTTCAACCATCGCATGTGAGGCTCTTTTCAATGGTTTTCATCCATTTTTTTGTCAATCAACCATATTTAATCAATTAAAAGGGGGCAAAATAGTAAATATCTATTAAAATAATTAAATAAAGGATAATTGAATAAAAAATTAAAAATAATTAAAAGAAAAGTACAGATCTCTTCTTCACCCACCCTCCACCCCCACACATCCCACACCAACCACAAAATAACCCCACTCGTCTCTTACCACCGGCACCAACAGAAATTGGCTTTTCAACCCAGAGCTCCACTTGTCGATACCATTATCACTTGTCCAACACCAAACTAATATAGAGGCCGAAACTTCATATTCCAAAGACTCGCCTAAGAAGGACCAAAAAACTAATTAGACACGACTGCCACAACCAGCTCTAATGGTATGATTTCAACTTCAAATCTTGGCCCAAATTTTACTCTTCTCGTCAAAGTCCTCACATCTCTCTCCCGCTATCTCAAGTCTCTAGCTAAATTTAGTTTTTAGTGGAAATTTGGTGAGAAGTTTTTGCACTATCAAACTTCAAATGTTGGTCTTCGGGTTCGGTGGGATTATTTGAATTCGTGGGAGTCACGAATTGGAAATTCAATTGGTGTGTTTTCGATAGTTTTTAGGACCCGAATTGCATTTTTTCCAATTGAATTCATGGCTTGGAGCGTGCTGGATGCATCAAATTGAAATGGGATACTCGAGAAGAGTCCATTTGGTGGCTGCCAACATAGGTGTAGTAAAAAAGGGAGTTGTGGCCGACTGTAGGCTTTCTCAATTTGGTGACTCATTTGCACAATCAGGTCTATGGAGGAGACTGTGTAATTTTTAGGAGGTGGATGAAGGGTGGAAGGAGTATAGTCGTCGGCTGTTCGCGGTGGAGGTAATGCCAACGTCGGCGCCAATGGTTAAAGACAACTATGTGATTTTCACTTTTGGGGCGGGGGTGTTGTACAAAGAAGAGAGGCTTTTATATTCTTCTTTTATTTATTTTTTAATTTTTTGATTTAAAATTTTAAATTGTTTAACGTGATAAATAGAAAGTTATTATTTTACCATTTTAAAATTGATTAAGCCCTTGCTTGAGCCACATTATTTTCTTAAAAATGTATTTTTGAATAGTGTATTGATGAAAAATGTGTGGTTAAAAATTAAGAAAAAGTATTAAATTTGCGGGTAATATTATTTTATTGAAGAATGCGTATTTGAAATGATATTAAGCCCCTATTTATTTTTTATTATTTGGCTATTAAAATGAAAAATATGACTGTTATTCATCACATTAAGTCACTATATTTGAATTTCTATATTTTGTATGGGATCGTAACGATTATATTTTTTCTTCGCATTCTTACATTAATGGGAAATAAATGGAATATAAATTATTGTTTAAAAATGTATTTTTTCGAAAAAAAATTATAGATGTAACGGGACCTCAAACATGATCAAACTTACACCCTGTTTGGCCCCCATTACCTGAAAATGGTAATGGGGGGAATAGTATTTTTTAGAAAAATGAGTGGTTGAAAAAGAAGTTAAAGTTTTCGATTTACGTGTAATATTATTTTATAGAAGATTGTATGGTTGAAAATAGAAGAGAGAGAGAAATGTAATGTAATGTAATTTAATTTAATGTTAATCAAACAGGGGCTTAATTTTAGTGGTCAATTCACGGAAAGGGCGAGGAAACCATTAATCATCAAAAAGTAACGGGTAATCCAATCCAATCCCTGTCCATTTCTTATAATCTTTCCATGGCTTCTCTATTAGCCCTCTCTTCTCCCTTTCCTTCAACAACTATGCCAATCCTCCATTATCCTTCCTCTTCCTTTAAGGTACTAATTGATCCTCTCTATCTCCTTGTATTCAAGAATTATTAACACCTTCTTATATCTCCAAATTAATTAAATGCTACAATATAAAAAAACCAAGAAATCCCAATTTGGGATTCCATAAAGTTATGATTTTTCCACTTTCTGGACTAATCAGAGCAACATGAGAACTTTGAAGCTAATTCCAACTCCATTTCCTAGTATAAAACTGTTCCACCAAAAAACCAGAGCAAAATCACGACTAATTGCACTCAATTCAGGAGCTTCTTCTGTTGAAGAATCTTCTACAACTACACAGAGCGTTCGGTTTGGGCTCAATAACTTGGGTCCTCAACCCGGGTCCCAAAAGAAGGCGAAGAGAAAGGGAAGAGGTCACGCTGCTGGACAAGGGGGCAGCTGTGGGTTTGGAATGACGGAGTCCGAAAAGGGTTTGAAGGTTGCTAAATGCCGCTTTACCAGAGAATTCCTAAGTTGAGAGGGATTGCTGGAGGTAAATTTACCATAAAGACTCTTTCATTTGTGTGATTTTACGGAGTTTTTGGATTAATTTTGAAGATTATTGAGTTGGGCTTGTTTGATTTGTCTGAAAGTTGGGAGATTTTAAATAGTTGTGTTGATCTGGAATTGGTTTTAGGTTGTACTAATTGATGGGTGAAGTATTTTTACTGGTAAATAATATGTTTTATGTGCATTAGTTTAAGTGGTTGTGTGTTGATATGTATATTATTACTTCCTTTACATAAAATTTAAACGAAAGAGATGGATTTGTTTCCCATTTCTTGATTTCCTTTCGATGTGTATAATTCTATTAAACTGTAAATGTATGTAGTAATTCTGCTTATTGAGCAATTGTAAATATACATTATAACCTCTATAAATTAATATCCTTGGGACCATATAAATTATATTAATTCAAAGAGGTATTAATTAATCGATAAAATAATAATTTATAGAGTAAATTTACAATTCAATATGTTTAGGATTTCGGATATAGTTTTCAGTTGAACTGAACTTTTCTTCAACCCCCCCCCCCCCCCCCCCCCCCCCCCCCCCCCCCACACAACCAAAAAAAATAAAAATAAAAATAAAAATAAAATAAAATAAAATAAAATATAAAATAAAATCATTGTACTATGTACTTAATTAAATAATAGTCATTGTAATTCCATTAATTTAATTAAATGTATTCAATGAATTAGATTAAAAAAGTCTTTGTGAAAAAAAAAAAAAAAACCATTGTTATCAAAACTGGATCGAACTGGTCGGTTTGACTGGAAAACCCAAGAACCGGAGTGATAATCGGTCCGGTTGATGCATACTACGAGTATAACAATTGGCTAAAAAATCGTAAATCCTGGCTGTTCAACGGGAAATTGCGACCCGGATGCGACTTTACCAAGTTTTCCTGTTGGGTTTGTGAGAAAAAACTGAAAGTTAAAGAAATAATTATTCAAGAATCTGATTCAGCATATAGTGCCCATCTTTTTCAAGTTAAGAAGAAAGATTTTCTGATTGGTTTCATCCATCTTCTCCCATTTATCTTAGATTGACAGATTTAGCATGTGGTACCCAAAAAGAAAAAAGAAAAAATTGATTAGCAAAGACCAGTAGAGGTGCCGCCATCTTCAATCTCTTGGTAGGGATAGGTAGGAGTTGTTTAGTAGTGGGGTTCATTGTATTTTATTTGGGCCCATTTAGTTTTTATTTTATGTTTAGTTGTATATTGGCCCATTTAGTGTCAATTTCATGAGAAATGGGTATTAAAATAATTATTGGAAGTTAAATAATAAATATTAAAAATACTCTTTTGCTTGATACAAAATTCTAATAGGACATATATTGATGTATGAATTTTTTATTTAATTATAATATTTTTGGTTCAACCCTCTAACCCTTGACCCTCTTTCTTTTCCGGGTTTGTGTCCAGGTCGATTTTCAAAACATTGAAGAAACACAAAGTTTTCTTATATTTCATAATTAAAGTTGTTTCCCTTCTAAAACATGTTCAAAAATCAACCATGACAGATGAGATGCATAAAGCATTATGTGAGTAAGTTGGTAATGTTAACCTTCACAAACCGTCAAAATTTCCAGACATGGAGAAAGCTATTTCTAATTGATTTCTTCAATACCAGGATGGTGAGAATATAACACGATGGCTAATCTTGAAAAAGTCTAGAGGGACTATGAAAATATTAAACCCTAAAGAGACTTCAGAATTCAACTTTTCTTGAGGTTATCTTGAGAAGTTTAAGTGAAGACATGGTATTAAGTCATTTTATCGTTTTGGGAAAAGTTGATTAATTGGAGTCCACAAGGAAAAATAGAGCAGTTTGCAATGAAAGATGTTTTCAATATGGATGAAACAAGATCGTTTTATAGGTTAATGCCTGACCCCTTTCTTGCAAGAAAGCAACTTGAAGCAAAAAAGCAAGACAAAGAAAGGCTTACTACTGTTGTTTGTTGTAATGAAGATAACTGGAAAAAAATGTATATATATATTCATCCATGGATCATCAGAAAGTATGTAAAGCCATGTTGCTTCAAGTATTAACTATAAACAAATTGAATTGTCAATTCAATTCCAACATAAGATCGTGGATGACTAGGGTGCTTCTTGAGGAATATGTTTGGTTGCTTGACAAATAAATGTATCAGGAAATATTTAGACCCAACTATGTGGAATTAATCAGTAACAAGCAACAAGTCACTCAATTATTGTTTCTAGATGATTAAGTTTAAAATCAATTTTAAATCCTAAGTTAAACAATCACAAACATTCAAATCAAAAGCAAATAATTCCATACATGATCACGGAGGAAAACCACTTCTTAAGATCAAAAACCTCTGGGCAAAATTGTCAGAAATCCACTAAAAAGTTAATTTATAGTTAGTTCACACACCACTGAACTTTAGCTGACTCTAGGGCCACTTAACTTATAAATCACTAAGGAACTCTTTTGGTTGTGCGACTCGTACTTTCCATTAACTCTTGGCTATTTTTCTTTCCGCATGGATCACTAAGAACGAAGTCGTTCCGTACGCTGGAACTCTTAGCGCCTCTTCTCCAACTTCAGAACTCTGAAGGCTTATAGGTGAAGGTAAGATTTTTGGTGTTTTAGTAGGATCTTTTTGTATTTTGATCTGTGGCTGAGGCAAGAGATATATAGATATACATTTGATCTTCAATGGATATTCTCTTGACTAAATATATGGCTCAACCAATGAAAATATGTTTGGGATGAATATATGAATCAATGATCTTGGGGTTGAATTAAGAAATCAATGGATTGTGTTTTAGATCTTCGACAATGTAACCTTTAATGTAAAATAATGATTCTACATGCCTTTAGGATGGACTGGGCTTGGATATTTGTAATATGAAGAGTTTGAGGTTGAAATCAATTTGATATCTTTAACTCCTCCTAGGACTATACTATCAATCCACAACTATTTTGACTTAAATTACTATTTAAATGACCATGATTTTGAGTACGGATAAAATCAATTACAATTAGGACCTTACAAAATGCATGGGAGGAAAATTCTCTTGGTAATAGATAATTATCCAACCCATCCAGAAAGTATTGGAGGATTACCAAATGTTGAGTTATCTTTTTGCCGCCCAACATGACGTCAATATTCAACCATGTGATGCGCTGATAATAAGAGATTTGGAGACATTATCATAGATGATTTTACTGTATAATTTTGGAGGGCTATGAATTGGGGCAAAATAATCCAGAAAAAAAATAAGTGTTTTAGATGCAATCAATCTTGTAGTCTTAGCTTGTACAATAAATGTTCAGACAAAAACAATGTTAAATTGTTTTTGATATATTAAAAATTTGTTCATTAGAAGAACTGGCATGAATGAACCTAAATGAATCCTTACACGAAGAAGGCATTCGTCAACTTGAGACAATAATCAAAGATTTGAATTACCGTGATAGAATGGATGTAAATTACCTCTTGGAAAATGAAGCAAGTTCAAAGGTTTCAGGTTTAGAAGATATCATTGCTAACATCACTTAAAATCTTGTTGACAGTGAAGCTGAGGATGATATAATTACTTTAGAGCCTATTATGCTTAAGAAAGCACTCAAAACATCAACAATGCTTCATAATTTTTTATTGCAATTCAAGAATTTAACCCAAAACTTCTATATGCAATAAGAAAAAGTAGAGACGATAACTAACTAGATTTAAATTCCAGGAAAGAGCAAGTAATAATAGAAGTCATATTTTAATAATATATAATATTCAATTATATTTATAATTTTAGAAAATTATTAATTATGATACGAATAGGACCAAACAGTATTTAGCCTATTAGCCCAAGTCAGGACTGTAAAAATTTATTGTATAATAGAGCTACTAGTATTATTTTATACTGGTTATACTCTATGGAGTAATTATGCTCATTGAGGTTGTTATTTGTGGTAAAATAAGCCTCCACATAATGGGCTTGTTTGGTAGTGATTTTGAAAATTGATTTTTTGGTTGTTAAGAGAAAAGTGGGGGCCAATTGTGAGAGAGTAAGTCAAAAAATTACGATTGAAATTGTAAAATAATGGTAAAAAAATCAATTTTTTGGGGTGAAAAATCACTCACAAACGGGGCCAATATTTTGAAATTGACGGCGGTTTGAAAATTTTTAGCTTGAATAGAAGATTTCGGTCCATGTTCACTCATTTTGAAAAATAAAAATAAAAAAAGTCATTCCTTTATGTGTAAGAAACTTGGCATTTGTTTGGTGGAGATTAAAATTAGATTTTTATTAAATTTGGATTGGAAATGATGAAATGTGTGGTTGAAACCCTTTGTATCACATGAAATATGTGATTAAAATTAGTTGTTGACTTTGACTTAGATTAAAATCTAGATTTTAATCCTTACCAAATAGGGGTTTGAGTTAGAACAATTTTTAGAATTAGGTTTTAAGTAGCCAGAATATCTTATGGTCATAATTTTGAACTCCAATTTGGAGACAAAAGTTTTAGGGTGTTTCCTAGAATTAATTCTTAATTTTTTGGAATTTATTACTCTCTTTGTACTCACTCGAGTAATGCCAGAATAAACCTTGGGAATCTTGTTTTCTTTTTAGACTTTGGTTGCTACTCAAACCGTTGTAATGGGCATGCTCTCCTTTCTCTCCTCCTCTGCCTTTACCATGTATTTCATATCTTAATTCTTTTAACTTGTAGGCTTGCTAATTAGTTAATACACTCTTTCAGATATCTCAAAATCTATCACATATAATGATTTACCATTGTTAGATTTTAGAGTTTTCTAGTTCTCTTTTTCCCCATAAAACATTGATTTTTCGCTCCGAGCACACAACTGACTGAAAGGCAGCATTATTTTTGAAGTTCTTTTCAGACGCACAACCTACTGACAATCAAATAAGCAAGGAGAAGGGTTATGAAGGCAAGATAATTTTATCAATAATATAATCTAATACCATTACTTTGCCCAGTTAAAGCTTTTTAGATTCGAAGCTTCTGCATGCGTCTTACCTTGTAATGAAATGTTTGATAACCATAGATAGCTGTATTCTGGCTTTCTTCTCCATATCTCGACCTTGTATGTCATTTGAGTCAAATACTTACTAATACATGGATTCCTGTCACTAATTAAGACATGCATGTGGGACTACCAAAATATATCCCGGTGAACTTAAAAGATATTGAAGCTGCTGAATTCCAAGAGGGAGAAGAGGTCTCCCTGGAGTCCTTGAATAAGAAGGGTCTAATCAACCCTTCAGGAAGAGACTGGAGACTTCCTTTAAAGGTAACATCAATGTGCTATTATATGTTGGCTGAAGAATTAAAAATCTCCATGACGTGCTTATATTGAAGAAAAGAAATACTCATTTCTATGTTATAAGTTAGTGGACAATAGAGTTACTAGATGAAAGACACTCCATTAAGTGAGGTACTTCCAATCTTCTTGTCAACAACCCTTCGAAAAATGCCAAAAATTTCCCCAAAGCAAGGATCTGCTAGAAACTACCACATCATCCCCAGCAGCAAGTTGGAGAGGAACATTTAACTTGTTAAAACTTACTGCTAGATCTATGGAAATATCTAAAGCAACTAGGTCATTAGTAACAACCACACCTTGTGATACACACACACACATTCATGTGTATAGAAATGTACATATATGTATACATATACGCATATGTATATATACACATATATACAATTTATCATATACATATATGCGTGTATCATATACATATATGCATATGTATACATATATGATAGAGATAGAGATCAAAACTTAGAAATGAAGAAATGATATTTTTATTTTCAATAGACAAATTAAAGTACAAAATATTGAATATAATATTCAACTTTGAAATACAAGATAGATTTTTGAAAATTAGAAAGCTTAAAAAAAATTACAACGATTTTCTCGAACTTTCTTGAAGATGTTTTATCTCATGCTAAAACGTACTTGCTTCAGACCGGAGGTTTGGTCTTCTTTTATTTTTGAAGTTTAGGACTTGAAAAATTCTTAAATTTGTTGAAGGAATCTTGAAGTACAATAATATTGATTGTCTTTTTGTCCGCCACTTGTTCCTACCTTTTGAATAATGGCACTACTTTATTAAAGTTACTTTAATAAAGTAGTTATTTTCTTAGGTACCGGTAAAGTTGGCAAGAATAACTTTTGAGGTGGCAAACACATCTTGAATAACACATTTCTTGCATTATGGACACGATATGGTCTTAATATCAAGCCCATAACAATCATCTCCATTGCTTAGAGCATGGTCTGATTCTTAATTTGACCGAGAGGAAGATTCTCTCATAGAATGATTTTTCTTGAAGAGGCTTCAGCTACATTAGCAATCTTTTCAGATATGTTGACAATTCTTCTGGAGTTTTACTTTGAGTGAGCATAGTTAAAAGTCTTGATTTCTCTGAGAGTAAGTCAGCATATTTTTCTTGATCTTTCTTAGAAAGTTTTGGGATGTCAATATTTCTCTATTCAAGAATCCATGAATTAACAACTCTAGGACAGTAATTTGTTTCATGGAATTTTGACCTTTTTATTTTGAATCTTTGAACAATTTTCTTAATGCATAAATTTGAATCTGTATTTTGAGCTATTTGGAAATCCCTGTAGAACATCCAAGAAACCTTGAAATTGAGAGCGAAGAGGCTATAAAAATGTTTTTACCTCATTTTTGAAGTGTTTGGAGCCTTGACGAATAAGACTGGGTAAATCGTCTTATCAAGTCCAAAAAATTTGAACTACGTTTGAAACCATTTTGAAAAATTGTTTGAACAAGGTTGGTTAAAAATAATAAACCAAGAATGCATAATTGGTCTAAAGTAAAAAAATATTAAACCATGCACCTTTGTAGTCAAAATAATTGAAACGATCAAATGTATCATTTTTTTTTTTAATAATTTCATTCTCATTTTTCCCAAGGGTAGCAGCTCCCAGTCTTTATAAGACAATACTCTTTAAATTGAAATTTTTGAAAAATCTATATGCTTTGAGTTTTGAAGATTTGAAGTATGGGTTATTATAACAGATCCTGATTTTATGAGGAGAGCTTCATAATATCCCTTGTTTTTTTTGACATTTCTTAGCATGAAATGTAAATTTGGAGGAAAAATATCTCCGAGACAATCTTCAAAAGATGAATACCTATGAGACCATGAGGATTCCATCTTAAAAACATGACATTGAATAGGTTTTGAGTAATAATGAAAGACTTTTTGATGATTTACTTCTAGTAATTTTTCAGGACAATTGATATGGCTTTTCCAAACTTAGAAGGCTTTGGTAGTGGTTGGTTTGCATTTTTATTTTCCATTTTCATTTTCAAACGATTTTTAGTTTTTCCCGAAAACGGCCCGTTTTCCGCGTTTTGAGTGTTTTCGACATTTATAACTGAAAACACTAAAAACGATAAAAAGTCGTTATGCGTTTTCAGTTATAAATTTTAACTCGTTTTCGAAAATACGTTTTCGAAAACGACGGATCAAACGCGTTTTCGAAAATGAAAAATGGGCCGAAAACGGCAAACCAACCATAGCCTTAGTTTTTTTAGAAACCGTTTGAATGTTTTGAAAGAATTTTTTTGAAGTTAAGGTAGTTTTTTGTGAAGCACTTTAAGATTCATGAGAATCTTCAATTAATATTAAAGGAACTGTGGACTTTTTCTTATTTATCTTGGAGGAAGAAGACTCCATATTTCACTCACTGATCATTGTTTTGCAGAAACTTTCTTGTGAGGAAATTTGCAAGATAGTTTGATTTATCTTGTATATATAGAATTTTGAAATTAAAGCAAGATATGATAGCTTGTTGTCTTGCGAAAATTAGCTTTGGAACAAGGTTTTTCCCGTCTTTTTGTAAAACGTCCTTTGATGCTTTACAATCTACTTTTAGAACAAATTCTTTATAGATTAAATTATTTTGAAATTTTGAAATACACAGAACAATGGATAAAATTTCTTTTTTAATAGAATAGTTCTCTTGATGGTTGGTCCATACTCCACTATGAAATTTTTATGAACTATTCTTGGCTAGACTATTATGGAATTTGCTTTAAGGCTCTACCAAAACCTATGTCTGATGCATTGGTTTCTACAATGATGGAGGCTGTAGGGTCTAATATTGAAAGGCATGGGATACTTTTGATACCATCTTTAACTTTTCGTGCAGCTAAAGTATGCTCATGATTCCATGGGTCAAGTTTTTTTAGTCTTTTGAAAAAAGGGGTTCACATCAGCCTTATATTTTTAATAAAGTCTAACACGTAATTGAGACAATCTAAGAATCTTTGTAGGCTAAATTTATCCAAGATTTCATCAGGAAATTTATCGGTAAAATCATGACATCTTTGAATTGGGATAATGGTTCCTAAATGGATATTATGTCCTAGAAACCTGAATTTAGTTTGATAGAGAACAATTTTCTTAGTAGAAATCGCTAAACCATTTTTCTTGATTATATGCATAAATGTGTTGATATGCTTAAAATATTGCTTCATACTTTCTGAAAATATGAGAATATCATTAATATAAAAAATAATAAAGTTTGAAAAAGAATTAAAAATATCATTCATGAGTTTTTGAAATTTTGTAGAGATATTCGATCCATTGAACTCATAATTATATGGAAGGGAAACAACATATTTCTTTCTATCCCCGAAAGCATTTGAAATAGAAGAGCATATTTCTTTGTCAATTTGATTTTAGAAATTTGAAATTTTTTCTTTAATTGAAGAATTTGCAATTGTTCTTCAATTCTTTGAAACTTGATTTCTTCTTTAAAAAATTTGATATGATTCCTTTTAAAATTTATATTATTAATAATTTTTGAAATAGATAAGTATTAGCATCTTTATAGGAAGGGGGATTTGTAAATTTGGAAATATAAATAATCATGACATTACTATAATAAATGTCCTATGAAAAAGTTAAGATAAATAATCTGTAAATTGATGAAGGTATTAAATTAAAACTTCTCAAGCTTGTCAACTCTAGTTCTGATGATGATTCTATTTCTAATTTAGAATGTGTTTATCAACAACAAGAAGATTTTGGCATTGAAACTAGTTCAGACTAGCCAAAATAAAGGGCTCTGTGGTTGTAATACTGTAAATGTTCTTACTAAAGAGGAAAAACTTATTAAAAAGATAGTTGATCAAATTGATGATCCTCAACTTGAAAATAAGTTCGTTACTCTTTTACCTTCAAATCTTATTTTTGAGCCTTTCAATATGCAAATTGTTATGAATTGTTTCAAAAATGAGATTTAAAATCAGAAATAAAGATTATGAAAACACAAATCTTTACTCTTGAACGTCAAATGAAAGAAGTACGAACATTAGTTGTATTTCTTAAAGCCAAAGATTTAGAACAAGAATATGCTCATAGATCTTATTCTTCAAATATTCATTTCAAAAATATATTTTATCATGTAAAATATTTAGACCAAGAAATAATTCTTGGAATACCTTTTATTGTTCAAATATATCCTTTTAAAGCTGATTCCAAAGGATTTACTACAATTTTTAGTCAAGAAATATCTTTCAAATTTACAAATCCCCCTTGTTATAAAGATGTCAATATTTTAAAGGAAGCATCTATTTAAAAAATTATTAATAACATTAATTTCAAAAAGAATCATATCAAATTTTCTTAAAGAAATAATCAAATTCCAAAGAATTGAAGAACAATTGCAAATTCTTCAATTAAAGAAAAAATTTCAATTTCCAAAATCAAATTGACAAATGCTTTCTGGGATGGAAAGAAACATGTTGTTTCCCTTCCATATAATTCTGAGTTCAATGAATTAAATATCTGTACAAAATTTCGTCATTTTCAAATGAACAAAGAATTATTAGATCATTGTATCAAGGAAATTAAAGATTTACTTGATAAATAATTTGGCCAAGCAAGTCTCATTGAAGTTGTTCAGCTTTCTATGTTAACAATTTTGCTGAAATTGAACGAGATGCTTCGTGTCTTGTTATCAATTACAAACCTCTAAATAATGTTCTTCCGTAGATTAGATATTCATTACCTCAAAAGAAAGATTTGTTAAATAGATTATACATAGTTGTTATCTTCTTAAAATTTGATATGGAGTCAGGTTTCTGACAAATTCAAATTAAAGAAGAAGATAGGTACAAAACTGTTTTCAATTTTCATTTTGGTCAAATATGAATGGAAATTTATGCTACTAATTCTTAAAAATGCTCCTTCGGAATTTCAAAAAATCATGAATGATAGTTTTAATCATTTTCCAAACTTTAT